TTTATACCATATGCAAAAAAAGTATTTTCTTTTGCCCAAAACTGCAAGGGGTTTGCATAAAATGGGCATGTCTGCTTGTTAGTGAAAATGTCATGCCAGTTTTTTCATTGCCATAATTTTGACATTGTTGGTACCATGAACATGTCTAGTTTCATCACTCTAGCTTTAAAATGGAGCCCACTACAGTGGACACTGGAAGAGGTAAGGATAATGAAGTGGCACTTGGGGTGGCCAATCAGATTTCAGGGGTGGTCAGTGCTACCCCAGACTCCCCCTCTGGACATGCCCCTGCTACATGAACATACTAAACCTTAGCCACAGTGGTGTAGTATCAGTTGTTGAATCTCAACTAATAAACTGTTGAAATGTTACAAATACTCTATAAACTATCTGTATGCAGACTATCCAAAAAAAAAGTTAACCGATTTTATCCTTTAGTATAAGACTGTTAGACATTAGTTATGTCGGTGTCAGGGGAGTCATCTGGTTGAACGATGCTCTTACTGCTAGCCGATGTTCTGTAGGTTAACTACAAGCTCACAGTCAGAGCTCTTTTGTTACATGGCTCTGTCTTATGCCAGTTGCACAGAAATCTACTGCTTTGGTCTGAGCTTGCCTGACTTTTATGAGCACTGAAAGAATTTGTGAAACAGCTGCCAAGACGCTTCATGGTTCTGATTATTCTGACAAACTTTATAACTGCTGTGCATCTCAACTGATGTATTTCTGAAGTGTAGATAGTGCCGTCCAATTCAACTCATTGCCAGAGCCCCTGCACTATTACACGGATGTGGTTAGTTCCTGGCTTTATGTACTACTGTTTTCTGCTGTATTTATGTGCTGCCACGGGATTGGCAGTAGAGATAGTGTTATCTGCCTCTGCTGCTGCTGCTGCTGCTGCTGCTGCTCCCACTGGTACTTCCCTTCTGTTACTGCCAGCCTGGTTTTACTGGAATCACTGGGTGTGCTGCCATCTTTCATGATTCACTTGTGATCTTCAGTCCAAACATCACAGCAAGCTTTAAGATATCGCATATGTTTTCTGTTATGAAACATCCCTGTTCACAATGAAAGTTTGGAGCTTAAATGTGTTTATCTGCATCTCTGTCATCATTAAGTATGAATACCTCTCATGCTTCCAAAGCCCATGTATGGCAGTGGATCATTTGCTTGTGCAAATAAAAGTAAGCACACTGACAGAGATATGCAACACCGACTGGCTCACCTCTCTGCTTCTCCTCTCCAGGCTTCACATGTAAAATGTATTAAATAACATCTGAATCACATAAAGGATAAACAGTGAGTCCATTTGCAATGAGACAATCCTCTGTCACAATTCGGTTATTGTTGAAAATCCAAATGAAAAGCAGCCGGCTTGCATTTGGCCAGACTCCATATCAAAACTGCAGGTTTTAACAGATGATTATTATGTTGAAAAAGTGAATAACACCTGATTGATCACATTCTTACAGACATAATTACCCACATAGGATGTGATATAACTCAAACCAAAGATACTCACATAATCAACAGAAACAACTTTAGGAAATCTTAAATATTCTCATGTTACAGGAACTTTTTAACTCATGGTCAAGTGCAGAAGCATCTCAGTGTGTATATGTCTATATATCTGAATCATTGGACCTTTGAATGATTACATTTCTCTTACTTCTGCTTTTGTTACCTTATAGTGAAACGCAGGAGATGAAGGACACATATACATATTTGAATACACTTATATATACACTTGGAAGGCCTCAAAACGACTGACTGAAGGATCTATAAAGTGATGGCCCCTTGAGAAGCCACCTGCCACTTTGGGATTAAATGTCCCAAATCCAGTTTAAGAGCTGTATCATATCTAAAGGAATAAAAGTAAAGTATACTCACTGTGTGAAGGAATAGGTCAGTTCTCTGCTGGCTACTAGTGCAGCGTGTAGGGTGAGTGTGGACGCTTGACTGAGAGTTTGTATATGCCTCTCAGGGACCTCCCTCTCAAAAATGCCGGCTTAAAAGGAGCAGATGAGGCAAGATGACTTCACTATAGTCTACAAAGAGAGAGAGAGAGAGAGGGAGGGAGGGAGGTGGAAGGAGGGAGTATGACGGAGAAATAGGAGGGCGAGTGGGGAAGGAAAAAAAGGAAACTTCATCCTTAAAAGGGCACTGGCCTTTCAGCAGCTCCCTCTCCCTGTCTGCGCGTCTCTTCCCCTCACGTCTAGTTAAAAAGCCCAGCCTTATTTGGGTAGAGCTGTTCTCTGTAGAGGAGAGACAGCAGCCAGGCAGCGTTGGTTTGGTCAGCAGGAATTCTCCAAATACTTTCACCACATCCCTCCCTGTTCAAAGTGGCAGCATGATGGTGAGGGAGAGGATTTGGCTGACAGAAAGGGAGAGAGGGAGGAGCAGAGATGCAGAAAGAAGAGATGGGACTTAAAGAAAATAAAGGAAAAGACACTGGGTGTGGAAAAGAGAATTAAGGTGTTGGTCCTTTCCTGTTGTAGGGAAGCAGCAGTGTCAAAAATGACTTCCACTTTTTTGCACAAGAAGGAGGATATGATGAATAATAAAGGAAGGAGAGGAGAGTAAGAGGGAGATGAGTGGAGAAGATGTAGGAAGAGTGGAGAGGATTAAGAAAAAGAGGATGAAGAAGGAGAGGAGAGGAACATGTTAAAGAGGAAAGGAGAGGATGTAAGGAGAGAGGAAGGAGATGAGAGGGGGAAGGAGGAGAGGAGAGGAGTAAAGAGGATGAAGAAGGAGAGGAAGAAGGAGAAGAGAGAGGGGGAGAGAGAAATAGATGGGAGTAAGGAGGAGTAAAAGACTCATCATCATTCAGGCAGAGAACTCCATGTAAGTCCTGGGTTAGCAGCTGCACCCAGTGTGTGTGTGTGTGTTTGTGTGTGTGTGTGTGTTCACATATACCCCGACACCACCACTCATGACATTTCCATCACTTCCATTTCCATTACAGACACTTTTTGGCACAATCCTCCTGATTGAATATAAGAGGTGTTGAACGTATGCGTATAACTGCAGCTGGCTTCACTCCCTCAGTGGAAAGTCTGGCGATAGATCACACTCAGGATGAGAATCTCATATGTAACCACCCTTACCTCAACTCATATGTGGGATTCATACAGACGAAGCAGCAACAGAACAGTTTCTCAATCACTCGTTAGCAATAACATACACACTGAAACTGATATATTATTTTGAGTACGCACTAAACATTTATCTCTTTACAAAAAGCTTAGAAAGAGGTCAGAATTATTCCTTTGTTATATTAAGAAACAAACATGCCAATGTCACAAATGTTTTTAGAATCGATTTTCCATTTTTGGTTCTGTGATATTTCCTGCCATATGGCTGTGGTCTTCTCATTAAATCCTGCTTGGATCAGCTGTAACTAGAACAGAGCCAGATGTTGTACACATTCTCATGTGTTTTATTGGGTGAGTATTTGTGTGATTGACTTTCCTTTGATAGTTGACTCTGAGGAACACTATGGAAGATCTGTAATGCCTAAATGAAAACAGAAACATATATAAGAGTACAATTCACATTGTTATACCTAGGCATTTCAACCCTGTCTCCCCTAAATTACATTCATATACAACTAATTTGCAGCAGCAATTATGTTTAGAAGGGAGATTGAAGATGTTTTATTGTTTTTTTTTGTATAATGTTCATTGATGTTTTAATTTTTCTGCCATAATATGCGATCTTGCAATACGTTTTCTCGTAGTAAAATGTGCATTATCAAACTTTTTTGATTAGGTTTGGGAACTCACAGCACTGGATTCATTTTAGGGAAAGATCGTAGTCTTGGTATAATACAGAAAAAGTTCACACAGATTTTTTCACAGAACCAATTCCCAGTCTCACATTTCACCCTGTCTGGTTTTCTCCCTGTGATGTACTAAGTCTCCTTTTGTTTCGCCACTCCTGCTGGGAAAATAATGTTTTGGAATAAATATTGTCATTCACTTCCTTGGTGATTGACTGACTATTTGTCAGTCCTTTATAAGGTTACAGCAAGCAGATGGTTAGCTTAGCATACATACTGGGAACAAGGAAACAGTTAGATGGCTTTGTCCAAAGATAACAAAATCCACCAACCAGCATCTCTGGATCTCTTAACTTTTTTTTTAATACACACAAAAACCATAGTGTACAAACTACAAGCTGTCTGATGGCCAGGCCTTGCTGCTACCTCACAGAAGATCCCTACTGGAATGACTGGTATGTTTAAACTCCCATAGTGTGTGTGTGCCTGTTTGTGTGTGAAAATGTGTGCATGTGAGTAAGCTGCTCCTACATCATGTGTTTATTCAACTGAAGGAATTTACTTAGTCTGGCTGTGGTTCATGATCTACCATGAAAGGCACTTGTTTACAGTATTATACAATACTGTCATAGGCCAAATGCTTGCAGCAGCAGTGTTATGACCCACTGTCATCATTCCTTAATGATATCAGAGCCTCTGACTGCTACCTATTTCCATTCATGGTCTATGTGTGTCTGTGTGTGTGTGTAAAGCTAAAATACATACCACATTTGAAAATAAAGTAACATCACCTGTCAAAAAAAAACATATTTATGTCCAAATCAAAGCAGTTTCATACCCTGTACACAGACACAGTCATTGTAGTCATGGTAGTTTATTCACATGCGTGTTCATAATGTTTTTTAATTATGCAAATATTTTCAAACTTGAAAATACAATGCAAAAATATAAGTGTCACCTCCTTTGTGTTTAAATGCCTGCATACACATGCACCAGTCTATGTGTGTACGACTTATCTTGTTTATCTCTACTGCAGGGGTTCTTAAACTATGGGTCTTGTCCCATGATAGGTCACAAACCTACATCTGGTGGGTCAACATGAGACAAAGAACACTAATTTATTTTCATCGATTAGGATCTCAGTTGAATGAGGATAAATGGATTCATAAAAGGTCCTGGAGTCAGAGAGTTTAAGTAGCCCGGATCTCCAGCTGGTGTGTTACTCATTAATATGGGGGTACAGAATGTAACCAGTAAAGATATTGTATTGCAGTTGGTTACAGAGCTTCCTCCCGGACATCAGCTCTGTGTAGACCTGATCGCCCTTCTTCATCTCCAGCTGCACAACCTAAAAGCATACACAGTAAACAGTGTTGTATCTCACTTAGACATTACAAAATCATGTCAAAGTCACAAGGAAATAGATCTAATTTGTATTTTTTTAACTCTAGCTTTTATTCTAGCAACTATTTCATATCACTTTGTTCTTGTTAAACAATCAGATACACCTATTACCTGAGTGCCACTGTCTTCACCATCCTCTCGATTGTTCTCCCACACGCTGACCACCACCATCCCATTCTTCATCAGATGAACCTACGGATAAAACAAAACACAAAATTAAGAGACATTTGAGTTTCTACTGCTACAGTATGGGCGTAAACCAGCTAAATGTATTCTGAAATCAGATATTTATCAAATCTAACTGTTTACTTTATGGTAGAGGCGCTCCCCTTTTGTCACGTATGAGTAGGCTGTGAAGGAAAAGAGATAAACACCAGCACATGGGGCAGTGAAGACACCTGGAGAGGGAGGTGAAGAGTTAGTGGACCTGCAGTGGTGTATGTGGTACATGAGACTTTAGTTCAAAATGGTGGGTAAAGTTTTCACAAGTCATTTTATTCCTTTTGTGCGTGTGTGTTTTCTTACCCAAGGAAGGGTTATATCCATCCCCATCGTTAAGACTGACAATTGCATAGGGGATTGGCACATTCGTGTTGAAAGGACCAAAGCAACGTTCAGTAGATCCAGGAATTGCGATGGCAATATTTGGGTCCATGGTGGCTTTGAAGGAAACCTTGGCACCGGCTGAGAATAAGAGAGATGGGTTTATTGTACAGTACAAGAAAGCTCACAAAGATTTGTTATGTCTGAATTGCCAGATCTGTAGGTCTAAATCTACCAACCATCACTGCTTACCTGTGATCTCCTGTACTCTGCTATTCAGTGTGCTGATAGAGTGCCACAGATATTTAATCCTTATGAAGGTATCCTGTTCTATTTGGTACATTTCATTGGCTGCACAGCAGCAGCCACGCTGTTTAGTGAAAGTACAATTGCAGTCCCATGGGTCGCAGGTCAGAGTCCCTGTCCATTTCACTGAAATAGGATGGAAGGATGGTCAGAAAGGAAAAAGAGAAGAGGGGAAGGGGAGATAGCTATGTGAGGGACAACATAAAGGGCAGAGGTGTGTATTAGATGAGATGAGTGCTGGATGAAAGGGATAAAATGTGTCTTACATGCGGCCTCTTTCAGAAACTGAATGGTGGTGGATTGGGCCTCCACATGACCACAGGGAAACAGCGTCCCCAACAGGAACAAAACTGATAGTACAAACATCTGAAAAAATATTTACATTACATTTGAAGCTCTTACAGTTTCTAAATTCCAGTCAGTCATTATGCATCTCTGATAGGACTTGTTGGACTACACTAGGTCATAATAAATGTCAAATGTCAATACAGAATTAAATCTGTTTAGTTCTGCATGACTTTTTGATATTTATATTGACTATTTATTTATATTGAAATGCTTCTGTGTAAGGTTATTGATATGCAATGCATATAACCTCTCGTTCAACAGTATTTCAATGTTTTCCTGTGTAAAACTAACCTTCTTCACATCAAAATAATGTTATATTCTCCTAAGTGCTGACGGTTTATGTAACCTACAAAATTAGCCCCGTTTTAATCTTTAGGTCTGGACAACGTTTGACCTACAAATTGCAGAATCAATGCTTACTAGGAAGATGAAACAAATCTGCTCTGAATTAGCCACACAGGACAGGGTTAGCCATCTGCCCAGCACTAAACAACAAAGAACATGCTCTTATTGTTCTGTCTGCCAGGTGTTTAAGTAGGCCTTTACTTGCTAACAATTTTACAAGTCATATAGGTTTTGTAGGTTTGTTATTTTCTTTATTTTTTCTGCTCCCTAGTGGTCAGGAATTCTAATGCAGGCTTATTTTATTACAGAGTAATTGATATATGACTAAGTTCAAATAATCCAAAAGTAACAGATACTTGTCAAACCCAATCTGTTTTTGTGTCACAAAACCACACATCACTCAATCATCATATCCAATAATTGAATAATTGACGTAAGTAAAGTATTTAAGAGAAGACTAAAACTGGTCACAGTCTTCATCAAAGCAATTGCATCGGTTGGTTGTTGACAGCCAGAGTGACCAATTTTGGATGGGATGTTTTTCTGCGATAAATAGATTTAATTGCGCTGTGTAAGGATAGAAACATAGAACTTACTGTTTTTTGTTCCTCCCTCTCCTTGTTCTGAAATGTGAAGTTCTTGTGAGTTTGTGAAAATGAGAGTAAGAGTTTTAAGCAGGGAATGGTTTTAGTGTCCTATTGATGCACTTCAGGTGATCCTCCCCTTAAGGCGGCAAATGGCAGAAGCCCCACCTCCTCACACACACACACACACACACAAACAGATTTCACAGCCAAACCCTGACACTCCAATTCTTTTCACAGAGAGCCACATACATCCCCGGTAATACAGTGCGATAGAAAGGACAAGAATTGATCTTGTTGCACCTTATTGTTGGGACAATAATAGCCCTTATTAAGGCAGCGGTGTCTGGTTGCCATCTTTCTAAGGGACACCAACTCCTCAGAAACGCTGATATGGAGAACATTGTTGTCAGATCCCTGAGGATATAATAATCTATGGACAAGAGGACAAAAGAAGCTGATAGGAAGTCGTTATCAGCCCATCGATAAAGGCCTGGATCTGAGAACAAAATACAGTGTCACCTGGTTCTCATGCGGAGATAGAAGAGAGAGAGAAGTGATACTGTGTGTTCCCAATATTACTTTTCCTTCAGATATTGTTGGAAACCCAGATGTATTAATTGTGGTTTGTTGTGGGTTGAGATATGCGATAGTTATTTGGCTGAAGTGGACTCCATATTCATGAAATGATCTTGTGCTGTGGGCCAATATTTATTCAATAATAGGTCCCAAAGCCATAAACAGGAACGACTAGGTGTTGCCATCTCTTATCTTGTTTTTCTTTGATTCAAAGGAAGTCAAAGAAGCTAGGAACCACCTGCAGCCTGATTTAGAGATTGTGGATCTTTTGATGTTTTACATTCATTTGTTGGCTGACCGTAGAAGTGTAAATATTACTTACTGCAAAGATCTTATATGTTCCTATGTTTAAAAAAACATGATTATTATTTAGGAGACGTTTGTTAATGGAGACACTTTTTCTCCATTATGGAAAATAAATAAATTAAGAAATTGATTAGATGGAAAATTAGAATGATGATTAAAGAGTCTAGCTTTGGTACTCTGCATGGCAATGTTGGTCGGTCAGGTGGTCCACCATTTTGTTCCAGACTAAAATAAGAAGCATTAAATAGATTGTACAAACGCTCATGTTCCCCAGATTTTGAATCTTTCTTTCCCTCTAGTGGCACCATTGGGTTGACATGTTTGGTTTTTAGTGAAATATCTCAACAGCTATGGGGTGGATTACCATGAAATTTGGTGCAGACATTCATGTTCCCCTCAGGTAGTAACTTTGGTGATCCCCTTTAGAGCCATTGGGTCACAATTTAAACTTCCAATGTTTGGGTTTATGGCCAAATAAACAATGCAAAACTAATGACATAACTAATGACCTTTGCCTCAGTGTATTTTGTGTTAATATAAGTACTAATTATGGATCTATTATGCAAACTAGATACTCAAGGAGGACACTTAAAGTTAACAACAACAAGTACAGGTCCGTTTACCATTTACCATTACATATTTACGGAGCTCAAAGCAGAATGACAGTCAGCTGTGTGTGTACAACTGTCAGTCATCTCTACTGGTTGTTTGTAACCTGAAGTTATTTGTTACTATCTTTTTTGTCTCTCTACTCCTATTAGATAACAGGGTGTTTTCTGTGTTGACAGTCACTTTAAAAGTTGACTTGGCTCCTGGGGCCAGTGCATTGTCAGTGTGTTTTTTACAGCCACCTGCGTGTATGGAGTCCCAAATCAGCTGACCTGGTTCTTCACATTGTCTTATCTGATTGAGGCCAGGGAGTATCAGGTGTTAAATGTCGGCTTTGCACACATCTCTTCAAAACAGACCAGTTCTTGAGATGATTCACATGACAACATGGGATAAAAGTGACTTGCGTTGTAGCCTGACCTGAGATGTGATTTCAAACCAGAGCTTTGAATTACTGCATAATGGTGAGTGGTTGGCTTTCTGAGATTTTTTTATATGGAGGTGAAAATGTGATGAAGCCAGATATCAGCAAGTGGCCTTGTCTTGCTTATGAGTCTTACCTTTTCTCTGTCGAAGTTGACAAAATACAGAAATTACAATAAATTGGTGCATTGCACCAAATAAGATATACATTATATACATATCAAAAGTCATTCACAGATAAAGAAATGTACAGTATGTAAACATACATAGTGATGTTACTAAGGCCCGGAGGCTCCAGGACCTCAAACAGAAAATGGAGGTTAAAGGGACAGTTCACCCCAAAAATCACAAATACATTTGTAATGTTATTTATCTATCTAGATTGTTTTAGTGCTTTAGGACTTATGGTTAAACAGCAAGCAAGAACACTCCTTACTTGTCTTTATTTTTCTCTGCTGAGTGTCCATGCAGGTGCTCCGACTAAATGCCCAGGCCAATAGACTGTATAATAACTTTCCAAACCATCTCTGAGCTGACTTTCCACCATGATCGTCCACCTCAAACCCTTGTATAAGCCTGTAGTCGAGCAGCACTGTGTAAACACTGGGAATGTCAGGAGATGGACACCGGAGGCTGATGAGGATCTTCAGGACTGCATTGAAATAATGGACTGGGCTGGGCCCTGTGAGTCACATGGGGAGATTACATCTTAGATTACATTAACTTCTGTGTTGAGAATACTGTACCTATACTGTACAGTGTTTTCAAGCCTTGGATTACAAGTGACCTAAAGACCCTCCTCAATAAAAATAACAGACCCTTCAGGTCTGGTGACCAGGAAGAACTTAAGTAGGTGCAGAGGACACTCAAGGTAAGGCTGAAGGAGAGCAGGGATACCTACAGGTGGAAGATGGAGGACAGCCTGCAGGACAACAGCAGAAGAGAGGTACCTTAGCAGTGTGAGGAAGGTTAACAGCTACAAGCAAGCTAACGACACGTAAGTGGGTGGAGGTATGGACAGGGCCAATAAGTGGAACCAGTTCTTCAATAGGTTTGACTCCGTGGGCCAATTGTCTCTCTTGCTCCAGCTCCACCAATGACTGTCCACTCCTTCCCCCTTCTCCTTCTGCTCCCTCTAGCTCTCCCAACTCTACTCAACTACCAAACAAAACCTTCTTGACCTCTCCCCGTTCTGTCTGGATCCATTCACACCTCAACCAACTCCCACCAACGACCACTAAGGCACCCACCACCCGCCATCCAACATTAACCCCCACTCCAGTGCCATACTGAGTGTTTATTAGTATGGCTCAGGTGAGGAGAGAACTGGGGAAACTTCGCACCAGGAGTGAGCCAGAGGGTGCTCAAAGTCTGCACAGACTAACTGTGTGAGGTAAGCTGAGCCTCAGTCTGGTAAAAGTTCCATCAGTGCGGGAAGGAGGACCACCATGGAGTACTAGCTGTACAATGGCGTATAGCTTGAACAAGAAGGGGTCAAGGCATTTAGATTAGAGATTAGATGATTAGATAGATACTTTATTCATCCCCAAGGGGAAATTCACAGTTTCCATAAGTATCCACAGACTGATAATAATAACAATAACAATAATAACAACAACAACAACAGGAAGTCAAATGCAAAAGAACTAATAAAATAAAATAGAATAAATAGCAAAATAACGAGCATTGGGTAAGTGTCCTAAGGTGCATGGGTTTCAAATCCAGTGGCCTTGAAAGGCGCCTAAGGTGCATAAGTAGGTGTCACATAATGCAGGGTGCACTGCGTCTGGTGGTATAGTTTGATACAGGGCAGACATATTGGAGTTTAGAGTTTTTTTTTCTTCATACTTTAGGCAGATGACAGCAAAACTGATATTGCATTTAGATTGAAGTTACTACACTGTTGTCTTTGTTAGGCACTGAAGATGATCTTAGTATTCGTCAGCATTGTATGGACAAATAAGAGGAGTCGTATGAAAATAATTCACTTATTAGTAACTTCTAATATGGGGTCAATCTATAATACTGAGAGAGGAATCAGTGCATTGTGCAGTTGTCTCTCTGGAAAACAAGGAAAAACTAATAATTTTATTTTTGCTGTTGTTGCTGCATAAATACAGGTGGCCCATAATTACTAAAGTTAGACCATATTAAATCACCATATAATCCAAACTTTTATTACTTTTTGAAAGGCATGCCTCTGCAGGATCACAAACAAACGTGACACAAAGCAATGGCCTATGCCCCGTCATGTAGCACTGTACAATCTAAACTTGGTATCTTTCTGGGTGAGTTTTTTGAAGCTCTGGGAATTAACAATGAATTATATAACTAATGGGATGCACTGTGAATAAAAATGTCCACATTTGCTTCTGAACAATGCACATTTTGTCACATTTGCATTGATAATGCAATCACTTGAACCAGTCTTAGCTAGCTAGCTGTCTAACATACAGGCAGCAGGATTAGGTTATTACGGACTACAGCCTAAAAAATGTAGCTCGAAGTACACTAGTGCTGAGTTTTTGTAGGTTAGACCAACAGCCCCTCAAAATGTCTGTGCATGTCCCTGATGTGATGATTAGTTCCTTCACTCTTAAAATAATCATGTGCAGTCATGTACCTTTGCTCCAAATCAAAATGTATTATGGTCACTATTAATTTTATAGTTAGTTGGCTTAATTACAGGCTTAAAACTCTTAATAAAAGGATTTTCTGAAATTCCCATTTCCCATTATTTGTGAAATAATGGGAAATTCATTTCCAGAACTACTGCAGTCCAAAATGTGGGCAGCCACTATTGAGTTCTATTTGCCTCAGACGTTGGTAGAGGCCAAAACAGGGCATAAAGAGTGGATCATCAGGTGTCCAGAAACACGACTCCAAATGCTAATGTTGCTCTGTTACTGTCGCATGTGTAATAGGCAACTTTTTTAAGGCTTGAATGATGAAATTAAACAACTTGTTTACACTGTTTTAAATTATGTATTTGGAACATTTTGCAAATGTAATTGAATACATTTCCCAGATATTTTTGAAAAAGTATTGTTTATATAATTATTTTTTGGGATAAACAAAATGTAACCAAAACCTTATTTTGGTTAATTAAAACTGTTGCGTGTTATATCCCATTCACTTACTTATGTGCTTCATACGTTCTGTAGATGCTTAATATTGTCTACACTGTTTTTATTGTGGACAATGTTGTAAAGAATGACTGTCTAACTGATATATGTATAATCAATGTAATCGTATTGTAAACCACAGTTTATTAGGAATATTACTTCACCTGGCTGGTGATATGGCTTTCATTTTCATTTCACTTCATGGTATTTTGTAAGAAAGGTCCATACACAGAGTAACCAAAGCTGGGAATAAAGTGCTTTATTTAAATGTTATATGTGTTATGAACTAAAATTTAAATTTCATACCAAACTAGGTCAAACATCCCAAATGTTAAAACTGTATCAAAAAAAGATAGCAAAGTGGGGGTAATATTTCTGAAATGTAGACATTACACATCTCTTCAATTGAAACAAAATCAACTAATGCCAACTGCTTTGTTTAAAGTCCTGATTTATTTTCTTGTAATTTTACAGGTGACAGGTTGTTTTCGTGTATTTCTCTCAAACGTTACATGACATCATTTCAGCAAGATAGGGAAATAATCTGTTACAGAACAAAGATACTCGCACGGGTTGAATCCAGATGTGACTGATTCAAAACCTAGCTTCCCTCAGAAAGAGCAGATTGAGATGAGTCACCACATAAAGATTTCTTCTAACAGACTCTAACCTTGGTAGTAGGGCTTGAAAGAGTTAGTAGTTTCTAAATTATTCAGTAAGATACAGCAGAAAGGCACTGAAAGTGTTAAAGTGGCTGTTGTCATCACAGAGGAAACATCCACTGAACAGGTTGACATACACATGGTCCCCAGCCGTCAGGTGGAGGACCACGAGAATAGAGCTACTGTCCTCTTGGTCATTCTTATTTTGGTCTCTGGATGCAGCCACCACATTGCCGTTAACCTGCAGAGCAGCGCAGATGGCCAAGATGTTACCAGGAGCCCCAGCGTCACTGTACAAGGTGACGGCGAGGCTGTAGACACCAGAGCGGGGAACAGTGAAGATACCGGTTTTTGGATTGTAAGCAGCACCCAGGTTGATGAAGACTTGTGAGTAGATGACAGGGGTGTTGAAAGCGAAGTTGCCAAAACACTTAAAACGATCATCACTGTATAGAGAGACAGAGAAGGCAGTGCGGCTGGCTGGAGATAAAAAGGGGAGACAATGGGTTAGAAGTGTTCAAAGTAGACTGTGCTGTCTTATAAGTGTGTATAAGTGTGTGTGCATGAGTGTTGTGCTTTTATGATCTACCCTCTGTACTGCTTTGTGTAGCTTTGAATGCGTCACTTACCTTTGATATTATTCAGACTTTGCTCTGTTTGTGAGTGCACCTTCTCCAACTCATTCAGGCTCGTGTTAAAGTATGACCTCAGGTTGTTCATCGATCGCAGCATCAGACAGCAGCCACAAGAGCCCTGGTCCGTTTGACATGCTGAACACAAACGCACATAAATACACATGCAGATAAGAATATATGCAGACACATTGATCAGGTACCCACAATTCCTCACCACTGTTAGCGTTGGGGTCTGTTTTCGGATATCCACGACCAGGTCCCTCCCAGTCATAGCTTGGCTGACCAAAAGCTGCATGCAGCAGACACAGCAATACAATAGCTGGGGGAAAAGATCAAAGACATGTAGCATTAAACCAAGAAGGAATTATTATATATATATCTGAACCATTGCTACATCTGTAAATGAATCTCACCTCTCATGTTGACGCTCGACGCTGATAGCTTCAGAAGGATGGAAGATGTGATGGACTGGATCAGTAGAGGTAGTGTCATGGGTATATATTTTTCTCACAGCCCCTCCCTTGTTACCTCTCAGTTTTATTCCTCCTCCTCCTCATTGCTCCTCCTAGTTTAGTTTTTTTTAATCGTCTGCCCTATTTTGCCTTTTTAACTGTATAACTGGGGATGTTTTATTGTCCTCATCAGGTGTTCGCTTTCTTAAATCACACACAAGCAGACACACACCCTTTCAGGGCTTTGTAGTTGGTTACAGACCAGGTATCACCTGTCTGTCGCCTGGAAAGAAATGTGCGTGCCGCCTCATCAGCAGACACGGTTTGAGGCGCTCTATCATGCAGCGCCTCAAACTGTGTTTAAATGATTCTTATGTTCTGTGCCGATAACTTTTTCTTGATGTGACGAAAGCCACAAATTACGTTCCAGGCGGCTGCACTGGTGTATACGTTGGTTGAGTGCACTGATCTGCCCGTTTTTGTGGGTAGGGGGCATGTTCAAAAGATATGATAGATATGTTATAGCTCACATCTCATTCCATCCTGACACTGTCTTCTTCACTGCTTTATGCTGTGTGTCCAGAATTATGTACAGAATGAGAGACTTTATGTACACACTATATCTGAGTTAATGTTGGATAATATTCTTTAACTAAACAATTTAATAATAGGTGTGTTACTATCATCACACTTTATTTATTATGGATTGTATTTCATTAGTCTGGTGATATTGCATCCACTTTAATTTTAATAATCATCAGTTTCTATGAGTAAGGTCGTGACACAGTGTAATCGAAACAATAACTTAAGGGCTTCAGTAAAACTGCTATATTATGTGGTTGAGAAAATAAAACATCATTTTTATTTATTATAAATGTTATTATAAAACCATTACACATCTTTGCCAACAATAACATCCAACAATACTATCTTTGTATCTTCAGTTTCTTCAATGGAGATGATGAAACAAAGAAACTCAGAATACCAACTAGTTTGTTTAATAGTCTGGTTTATTTTGTTAAGTTTCAGGTACAGTGATTTTTTACACTTTGTTTCAGTATTTCAAGATCAACAGCTGTTACAACCAAGATACCCTAACAGTGTGACATGAAAATTCTTTCAGTGTGAATTAGAAACATGGATTCCCTCGAAAGGTAATATCAATGTAATTGATGGGACATGATCTGAAACATGATGGAATAAAACAAACAAAATAAAGACGGCAACATCATGCTGGGATAGGCGATGGTACAAAAGATCAGATAGAGATTAGAGGCTACAATGACTGTCACCACAGAAAGATTTCATCTAACAAAGTCAGTATATGACAGGAGTTGGTACAAAGCCCAGAACAGATACATTTGCTAACTTAGTCAGTAGCATACAGCAGGAAGCCCGTGAAAGTGTTGTAGTGGCTTTTGTCATCGCAGATGGCACATCCTTGGGGCAGGACAACAGCCACCTGGTCACCAGCCATCAGTTTCATGGCCCAAACAGCGCTGCTGCTGTCTTCAGAGTCCTGCCCATTTTGTTCCTTGACTGAAGTCACCACTTTGCTGTTAACCAGCAGATTGGCACATGGGAGCGGTACGTTTACAGAACTGCCGTAGACAGTGATGGAGAGGCTGTAGACACCGGAGCGGGGAACAGTGAAAACACCGGTCTGCACATTGTAGTTGTTTCCCAGGTTGATGAAGACATTTTTGTAGATGATGAACCTTTCAGTTGTGAAGGGTCCAAAGCAGGTAAGACTCGTGTTATTGTTTAGGGCAACAGAGAAGGCACTGCGGCTGGCTGGAAAAGCAGATAAGATGAAATAGTCAAGCAAGAGAGATAAGAAGTAAATCAGTTTTGTGCTTTAAGACACTTTGATTGTTTCTGTGACTCATGGATGTGTCAACGCTCACCTCTCATATTGTCGAGGATCATCTTTGTTTTTGTCATCTCATTGTTTATTTCTGCATAGGTATAGTTAAAGAACAACTCCATCCTCTGCACCTGTTTCTGCATCAGACAGCAGCTGCATGACGCCGGGTCTGCAAGACACTCTGCACACACACACATACACATGTGCACACATTAATATATTAGGTTACAGATGAGTGTGTGCAGATTATGTATAGACAAAAGGGATAGACAATCTCTCACCACTGCTTTGGGCTTGATTCGGCTGTGCAACGGTGCTGGAAGGTCCATTCCACCCATACCTATTATCCTGACCAAAAGCTGCATGCAGCAGACACAGCAATACAATAGCTGGGGGGGAAAGAGCAAAGGCATATACCACCAAACCCAGAGAAAGTTTTGCATTCGATGCCTTTGCTTTTCCCAGGCAATGATCTGACTGTTTGTTTTGTAATTTTTCTTATTTTGAGATTTGTGTACAGAAAGTTTAACATCCATTAAACAAGTTGCACAATTCTTCTCCAATATACTTTACTCCCAAAATTGTCTTAACATACAATTTTTGACCATATCATCAGTATAATCAGTCACAATATTTCTAACCTGATCTACTTCATGAAATATTATGCCACTGTAGTTGCAACTTGTCTCACCTCTCATGTTGAAGCTGGTAAATGATGACGGCTTCAGAAGGATGGAAGGCGTGTAGACTGGTCGTGAGACAAAAGTCGTGGATATATATTTTTCGGAGAGCCCCTCCCTTGTTACCTCTCATTTTTATTCCTCCTCTTTTGACATCGCTCCTCCTTGTTTTTTCTTTATTGGCCACCCTATTTGCCTTTATAACTTTAGAACTGGAGAGGTTTTTCTTCATAACTACGGGCCTTCATTTTCCAATAATGACACATGAGCGGACACACACTTTCCAGGCTTTTGTTGTTAATGCCACTCAGGTATCACCTATCTCTCTCTATGTCTATTTCTCATCAGCAGCCATGCATTATGATTTGTAGAGATGCACAGTTGAAATTCTTTTTTGTATACTCGGTGTACAGTTCTGTTTCAACAACGCAGTCCATGGTTGAACATACTTGCCTTTTTGAAATGAAAAAAAGTACTACATTAATATTCTTTAAATACTGCTGATTCTCTGCCTGGTGGTGGTTCACACAGTGTGATGGCCACAGCCATGGCCACACAGCCATCTTAAAAGCGGTAACCTCATACACTTACACTTTCCTTAGTTCATGCTGTTTTTCCTTAAGATTGGTTTATATAC